AAGAAAAATGTTAATATTTTTTCCATGAATTTTCATTCCTGTTTATAGAATATTAGTTGTAAATACTTTTCATCCACAGATTTTTAAGTTATGTTGTAGGTTACATCATAGATGCATTTATTTAGACACAGGCAAATTTAAGAGTCCATTCTACAGCTGCATTTTTATAGTTATGCAAATGTCCACAATGGTATGTATATTTCTTTTCTAAAACAAGTTGGAGCAAGTGAATTGGAGCCCACAGTAAAACAAAGACTCTATGAAAAGATGTCATATTTATTAATAATGTTAGGGCCTATTAACATTACCTTCAGCGGGGCACCTGAGTGGCTCTGTTGGTTAAGCGTCTGACTTTGGCTCAGGTCATGATCTCATGGTTCATGGGTTCGAGCCCCATGTCGGGCTCTGTGCTGACAGCTAGCTCAGAGCTTGGAGCCTGTCTTCAGATTCTGTATCTACTTCTCTCTCTGACCCACCCCCTGCTCACCCTGTCTCTATCTCTCTCTCATAATTAAATAAAACATCAAAAAAAATTTAACAGTACCTTCAGGAAAAAGAAAAATGATGTTAAAAAAACACACCAGTAATCTTACAAGTAGAGAGCTGGTATATAACGTTAGTTACTACAGTAAGAAAATAGAGACCTATAATGAAGTAACTAATAGACCAATCGTACATCGTATACAATGTCCCAATGTCAAATAAGCACAACAGAAAACATAGTAAAATGCAAAATCACCAAAACAGCAAGGAACAACTCTCTGCACTGTCTCCGTAAACCACGTAGGGTTTGGCAGACCATGGATAAGTTTACAATTCTCAGTGACTGAGTAGAAAGCTTATTGTTTAAAAATGAAATTGTGTTCCCCTATTTCTATTGATGTTCAGGAGGCAGGAGGTCTTGGTTAGATGCTATCTGAGCCAGCGTCCAAGATGGCCTCTGAGGACTCAACCTCCCGGCATGCACGCCCTTAGGTAGTTCTCCACCTCCGACTAGCCTTGGTCTGTGTGATCAAAAGCATACAACAGAAAAGATGGTATGTCACCTCCAAGATTGGGCTGTAAAAGGTGGCAACTTCTGTCTGGGTGCTTTCCATCACCTGACCCCAACTTCAGATCAGTTGCCCTGGGGGACAGAAGCAAGCTGCCAGGCGGTGAGCTGTCCTAAGAGAGGCCCACCCTCTCTGAAGGTGAGGAACTGAAGCCAGTGAGGAACTGAGGGCTCCCAACAACTTCATGAGTGGGCTCAGAAGTGGGTTCTTTGGCCATGGTGGGCCCCCAAGATGATTGCCGCTCCAGCCAACAGTTTGACAGCAACCTCACAAAGGACCCTCAGCCCCTCTCAGCCTGGATCTTTGACATTCAGTAATGTTTGTTTTAAGTGGCTAAATTTTGGAGTAATATATTTTGCAGTGACAGATAACTAATATAAATGTCTTCCTTGTCTTTCACAGAGACAACTCTTAGAAAACTGGATGAAACTAGTTTTACTAATCTGACAGACTACCAACATGGGAAAAATAAACTCAGGAGAGAGAATTAAGGAAGTGACTAATCCTTTAAGGAGGAATGGTACTTCATTAGAGAGCTCCTACAGTGCTTATCCCTTTATTAGAGAAGTAGTAACACCCACATCATCTTCAGAAGATTTTTGTTATATCCATGACACTATGCTAGGTTGAGGATGTCTGTTGAGAAAGATGAGAGAGAAAACACTTGAGCACCTCCTCTCATCTGTCTTTAAGAGGATGGTGACTCAGTCAGTAATTGTCTACTGAACGCCTACTTCTATAAAACTAGTAAATGATGGATAAAAATGGCACGTGCCTAGCAAAATGTCAAACCCCAGGGAAATGGTTAATTAGGGCACAGATATACTATAGACTCTTAATGCAGCCATTGAAAGAATTCTAATGACAAACACTGAAATTGGGAAATGTTATGAATCATTGCCAATATAGAATTACACTTACATAGTAGTACACTATTTGTGTATAATAGATGTAATGTAATACTAGGAAAAATGCAATTAAAAGAGAAAGGGCATGAATAAAATTTATCATTCTCACTGGGTTGGGCGATAATAAAAGTTTTTGTTGGGGCAGATAGAGTAAGAGGTGGTTCCTCATAGGATAGCAGCATCAGTAGGTTTGGGAGGTAAGCATCCTAACTGTGTCACTTAATAACCATATAACTTTGGAAGGTTAATTAACTGTTACCATTCCATGCTATAGCTTCCTTATTTATTAAATGGGGATAATGTTAATAATGTTAGTGCCTACTTCATAAGCTTGATGTAAAGATTAAGTGAAAAAAATGAGTTAACAGATATTTACTGGGGTCCATCATATGTTAAACAAGCAACAAGCTAATAACTATATTGTTTTGTTGTGTCTTCTGTATTGCACATATCACTTCTATAATAAAAAGAAACAAAACAAAAAAGACATGTTTCTCTGCCCAGTAAGTCATCACAATGGCAAAACACAGACAATTGACAGAATGCTGTCTGTGACAAGCCAAACCTATAATACTACAGTCCCCTTCAACTGTGGTTTGCTTCCTAAGGTTTCGGTTACCTATGGTCAGCTGCGGTCAGGAAGCAGATGATCCTCCTTCTGACGTATATAGTAGCCTGACTCCATCACAATGCCTGTTATTCATCTCACTTCACCTCATCATGTAGGCACTTTATCATCTCACATCATCACAAGAAGAAGAAAAGTCTAATATTCTAAGACCATATTCTGAGAGAAAGACCATATTCACATAAATTTTATTATAGCATATTATTATACTTGTTCTATTTTACTATTGTTATTAATCTTATTGTGCCTAATTTATAAATTAAACTTTATCATAGATGTGTATACATAGGAAAATATATATAGAGTTCAGTACTATCCTACTACACTCCTACTCATGACTGCATTTTTTAAACTTTCAAATGATTTGTATTTTTTTTTTTTTTGCAAAGTAGGGGCCATAGAGAAAACATATGAGTTCATGACTATTTTTCTTTTTAAATGTTTTGATTTATTTTGAGAGTGAGCAGGGGAGATACAGAGAGGGTGGGGACAGAGGATCTGAAAGGGCTTTGCACTGACAACGAAGAGCCCAACTGGGGACTCAAACTTAACCATGAGATCACGATCTGAGCAAAAGGCAGACACTCAACCAACTGAGCCACCTAGGCAGTGACTCCCCCACCCCCCACCTCCAAGTTCATGACTGTTTCTGAGTTTGGGATTGGATTTGTGATAAGAATAGGGATAGGATACCATAGTATGGCGCCCCCTAGGGTGGTGCTGAGCAGAATCCTTACAACCATGTATGTCAGTGAAAAGACTGCTAGGGTATTGGTATTTTGGAAAGTGAGATCATTTCTTTGGATTAATTTAGTGAAATGTGTTATGATCTAAAAATGTTACTGAACCCAGTAATATCACCTTGGAGAAATTACACATAAAGAAATCATTCTAAAAAAGAAAAAAAGCTAAATGTACCAGATATTTATAGCACTCTAAAATTAAAGAATTGAAAACAATCTGAATGCCCAACAATAAGAAATTGTAAATAGTGTTTCAAGTTGATAAACTAGTATACAGTCATTAAAAATCAAAATTATAAAAAGTAGGTGCTAATAACTTATAATAAAGAAAGTTATAATGGGAGTGCCTGGCTGGCTGAGTCAGTAGAATATGTGACTCTTTTTATTTCTTTAATGTTTTATTTATTTCTGAGAAAGAGAGAAGAGAGACAGCATGAGCAGGGGAGGGTCAGGGAGATACAGAATCCGAAAGAGGCTCCAGGCTCTGAGCTGGCAGCACAGAGCCAGACGTGGGACTCAAACCCACGAACCGTGAGATCATGACCTTAGCCAAAGTCGGAGGCTTATTAACCAACTGAGCCACCCAGGCACCCCTAGAATATGTGACTCTTGATCTCGGGGTGGTAAGTTAGAGCCCTACATTGAGCACAGAAATTACTTTTTAAAAAGTTAAAATAAAAAAGACAAACAGTAAGTATGTTGTAACTATATAAATCACTTATGCTTATGGACAATATTTAAAAAGAAAAAATCGGAAAAGTTTGTTAGGGTGGTGGAATGAAAATGACTTCTTTATTTCATGAATTGTTTTTATTATTGATATAATACTTAGTGTAATTTTAAATTGTTAAAAAAAATTTTAAACTAGAAATTTGACTCAGCAATTCTATTTCTAGAAATGTATCCCAAGAAAAAAATCAAACAGGAAAAAATTTACACTTAAGATTATTCAAAAGAATGGGGCACCTGGGTGGCTCTGTCAGTTAAGCGTCCGACTTCAGCTCAGGTCATGATCTCACGGTTCATGGGTTTGAGCCCCGCGTCGGGCTCTGTGCTGACAGTCAGCTCAAAGCCTGAAGCCTGCTTCAGATTCTGTATCTCCCTCTCTCTCTGACCCTCATCTGCTCACACTGTGTGTGTGTGTGTGTCTCTCTCAGAAATAAATAAGAACATTAAACAAAAAATTAAAAAATAAAAAAAAATTTTTAAAAAAGGGAGTGACTTGCAAGTGTGATAAATTTGGGTGGTTCACCCAGTTCTATGGAGGGGAGAAAGAACCCGGGCCTGATGCTCATAAATGAATGAAAATCTGCCCCAGTGCACCTATGGGTGGAGCTGGAGAGTTCATTTGAATCTATCATGACTGGATTTTCTTTTTAAATTCAGCATAATGATAATAATAACAATAAGATTACTAGTGTTTATACAGTGAAAAGTAAGTGTCCTTGTCTTAAGATTGCCAAAGTTAGAGACTGTTTTCCTTCCCTTGCTGGTTTTAATACTACTACTAATAATTGCTCACTTTTTTTTAGTGGTTACTATGTCTCAGAAACTAGATTTCCTGCATATATTTACTCACTCAAATCACCTACAACCCTCTGAATATGTTCAGCTGACAATCCTCATATTTCTAGACAACACTGTATCACAGAGAAGTTCAATATCTTACCCAACGTTGCACGATTTATGAGCGATGGAACTGGAATTCAAACGCAGACAGTCTGGCTTTCCAGCCTGTTTGATTAATCTAATCATGCTGCTCTAATTTCCGTGGTAGTAGGATGGAATTCTCTAGACATAAAGAGAAGGGCCAAAGGACAGCATTATTTCCTAGCATAGGTGATGCTAAGCAGATTTCATCCACCTGACTCCTGAGCTGCTCTGGCCCCCACAGCAGTAGAGGCAGACTCAAGTGGTTTATCCACGGCTGCCTACTACTACCATTTCTTAGATGTCCTTCCTGGGATATATAAATACAGGGGTAGTTTTTCTGTATTACTTTTAAACAAATGGTTAAAAATTCACCTCAGAAGTCATTCTTTTTTGGTTCATAACTAACTCGTTCTCATTCTTTTTTATCAGCTGATATTCCATTTGTTTAACAAATCCCCTGGTAATAGATTCTTTCTAAATGATACTACAATTAGTATCTTTGGATATTAGTCCTTTGCATAAGTGAAAGCCACACTATATTCCTAGTAGTGAAATTATTATATCAAAAGGTATGGGCATTTTAAAGTTTACTAGATTGTACTTAATTTACCTCCAAGGCATACCAATCTGTATTCCTACCAAACATGTGCCTCCACTTCGCGGATTAAATAAATGCATGTTCAGTCTGACACCCCCTCACCATTACAACCCATTCCCTAATTCCATTTTTCAAGGAAGTCTTTGGTCAGTGATTCTGTCCTCTGGGAAGAAAAGCAATACAGTGCATAGAGGACATGCCAACCTTCACTGGGAAGTTCTGTCCTCTCCATTCTCCATGAGAAGTGACTGATTCCAGGGCTGCGGTAGAGAAACTAGAATGAGTCTTGAACATCCTATTGTGCAATGCAGTGCTCAAAGAATTATGGGGGAATGTCAGTGAGGTCATAGAAACTGTCAAGTACTGAGGTGCCTGCGTGGCTCAGTCGGTTAAGCGTCCAACTTCGGTTCAGGTCAAATCTCGCAGTTCGTGGGTTCGAGTCCCGCATCGGGCTCTGTGCTGACAGCTCGGAGCCTGCTTCGGATTCTGTCTCCCTCTCTCTCTGCTCCTCCCCCACTCATGCTCTGTCTCTCTCTCACTCAAAAATAATAAACATTAAAAAAAATTAAAAAACACTGTCAAGTATGGAATAATTAGTGCTATAAAAGCAATTTTGACTTATATAAGTCATTGCATCAGATTAGAACCTACTGAATAAAATAAAAATCTATGAGTCTATTGTGATAAAAATAAATATATAAACAAATGGGAGTGAAAGTAAAGCTCTATCTTTTAGTAGTATGCTAACAAATAAATGTAGAAGGAATGACAGAATTAGAATATCACCAATCGGGGGCACCTGAGCGGCTCAGTTGGTTAAGCATACAACTTCGGTTATGGTCATGATCTCATGGTTCGGGAGTTCGAGCCCCGCGTCGGGCTCTGTGCCGACAGCTAGCTCAGAGCCTGGAGCCTGTTTCGGATTCTGTGTCTCCCTCTCTCTCTGACCGTCCCCTGCTCACGCTGTCTCTCTCACTCTCTCTGGGAAATAAATAAAACATTAAAAATTTAAAAAAAATAGAAAAGAAAATCACCAATCGGGAACCACCATAATAGTAATAAATGATTCAGACAAGACCATCAATAAATTCTAAAATGATGAGTGAAAGTTGGCTAGAGAACAAGATATTCATAGAGTCTAAAGTATCTCTTCACAAAGAATAGTCATTGATTGCTTATTAATTGATAGTACTACATACTCATTAACTTATCAGTGGGAAAACATGGGGGACATTAGCTTAATCATAAGACAAAAGTTAACATCACCAGTAATGGAACAAATCGACATTATGTGCTTTCTGTTATGTTATACTGAAAAAAACCCCACAACATCTGCTTGTGGGTTTTTTGTGGGTTGTTGTTTTTTTTTTTTTGCTTTTTTGGTTTTTGGTTTTTGCCAACAACACACAGCTTGAATCTAATCATAAATGATCATCAGGCAAACCCAAATTTCAACACAATCTACAAAGTAACTGGCCTGTTCTTTTCAAAAATGTCAAGGTCATGAAAGACGAACAAACTGTTCCAGACTGAAAAGAATAAAGAGATATAACAACTATGTACAATTCTGAGGTTGGCTTGGATCCCAGACCAATAAAGGACATCATTGGGGCTAACAGTAAAATGTGGAAAAGGGGTCTGTGGATAGGTGAAAATATAATATCTGTTCCTTTGTTTCATTGGTTATATATAATCATGCAGGAGAGTGTTTTTGTTTTTAAGTGCTATACACTGAAGTAGTAAGAAGTAATGGGAACTTCAAGTCTACAACGTATTCTCAAGTTCAGAAAAATACTATGTACTGTAATGAGAATAACAGGCAAATATGATAAAATGTTAACAACTGGAAAATCTGGGTAAAGTATATATGGGAGTTCTTTGTAATATATACCTTTTCCTATATGCTGAAAGTATTTAAAAACAAATAGTTAAGACAATGTTTTAAGTATAAAACTAATCATCATACCTACAAGAAAATTTACTAAACTTTCAAGGAACGGATAATTCTAATTTAATACCAGACTTCCAAAGAATGCAAAATGACAAAACACTCCTCAATTCATTCTATGAGGCTACTGCAAACTCAGTAACTAAACTAGATATAACAGATACTAGAAGAAAAAATTACAGTCTCATGCACGAACACACATGCAAAATCCCAGAGTATGAGTAAAGTATACCCAGAAATGTGTAAAAAAGATAATACACTGTAACTAAGTTCAGCTTATCCCTAGAATACAAGTTTCATCTAACATTAAATTTTGTAAACGTAAGTCATAACATTAATAGATTTAAAAAGAAAAAACATATATTCTCAAGAAGTGTATAAAAAGCATTTGTGGAAAAAACCCTTGGCAAACTAAGAATGGAGAGAAATTTCTTTAACCAGATAAATAGTAGCCACAAAAAAAAAAAAAAAAAAAAAAGATGCTCCCTTATCACCTCTATTCTACACTGTACGAGTGGTTGTAGCCAGCCCAGCAAGACAAGGAAGAAAAGGAACTGGGGAGAAGAAACGGAGAGAAGATATATAGGCATTAGGAGTGAAAAGGCAGAAACAAAATTGGTTTTATCCACAGATGATACAAATGTTTACTAGAAAACTCAAGATTCTTCAGACTAATCATCAATTAATAAATTTAGTACGATGGCCAGATATAAAGTCAGTATACAAAAAATCAATTATATTTAGATACTCTGGCCATAAAGGAAACTTAATTTCCAAAATGACACCATTAACCAGAGCAACATAGAGACCCTAGTAATAGGTTTACTAAAAGATGTACAAGGAATTAAAGAAGACCTAAATAAATGCAAGCATTTAGCGTGTTCCTGAATAGAAAGATGTTATTTTAAAAATGTGGCTTAAGGGACGCCTGGGTGGCTCAGCCCATTAAGCCTCTGAGTTCGGCTCAAGTCATGGTCTCACTGTTCCTGAATTCGAGTCCCGCGTCGGGCTCTGTGCTGACAGCTCAGAGCCTGGAGCCTGCTTCGGATTCGTCTCCCTCTCTCTAGCTCTCTCTCTGCCCCTTCCCTGCCTATGCACTTGCGCTCGCACTCTCTCACTTTCTCTCTCTTTCTCTCTCTCTCTCTCGACCTTTCCCCACTGTGTCTTCTCTTTCTCTCTCAAAATTAAACAAATAAAAATAAAAATCAACCACTCGTTTGCAGTTACCCCTTCCCCCACTCACCCTCTGTATCTCTCGAAAATGAATAAACATTAAAAATATTAAAACAGAAAAAGAAACAAACACTCGCGTTTGCAGGTTTCCTTCCCTCGTAGCTGAGCTTAATCCAAACAAACACACTGGCTAACCCACCGCCTGCCAAAACCACGCTTCCGAATCCCTCACTCACCTTCCACAGGTGCTGGCTCCTCAGGCCCGGCCTACGGGGGGCACGTGACCCAGTTTCGGCCAATAGGCTGCAACGGGCGTCCGCAAAGGGCTTCTGGGAAAATCCCCGGTCTCGGGCTGGGCAGAGGAGACTCAGGCGCGCGTCTCGCGAGCTGCTTGCCCTAGTTCGAGCTCCTCCAGGAGCCGGCTCTGAAACAAGCATTCGAGCACCAGTAGTTTGTCTGGGAGATGGGAGGGGAGTGGGAAAGTGAGACCGGAAAAGGCAAAAAGCCAATAAAAGATGAGTTATCAAAGCAAGTTCCCATGCGAGTTACTGAGGCCTAATCCACCTGGGAAGCAATGTGGAACATGACTTCAAAGTGAGCCTCCCGCACCAAGGGCGAGGAGCAGGCCTTACTTGACTATTGCCATCAGCTATTGCTTGAGTGCTGGTTCCCAGAGGTTCCAGTGGCCAGAGACCCCTCAGCTAGGAGTGTGGGTGGGATGCGTTGCTAGCAGTTTGAAGCTGGGTCAGCATCCATGAAAATGGTACATGCCAAGACGGTATGGGCAGGGTACTGACGGCATTTGTTACATCCAACTTGCTCGCCCTGTTGAAATGTTTGTGAGAGAACGTGACATGGGGGGACGGAGGCGGGGGGGGGGGGGGGGGGGGGGACTCCAGTCACATTCAGCTGTGATGGGAAGGCAGAGAAAACTGAGTCCAGGCCCTAGNTCCATGAAAATGGTACATGCCAAGACGGTATGGGCAGGGTACTGACGGCATTTGTTACATCCAACTTGCTCGCCCTGTTGAAATGTTTGTGAGAGGGCGTGACAGGGGGGGGGGGGGGGGGGGGGGGGGGGGGGGGGGGGGGGGGGGGGGGGGGGGGGGGGGGCGGCTGCAGCTGTGATGGGAAGGCAGAGAAAACTGAGTCCAGGCCCTAGAACTTGGGCATCAGAGAGCCACTGAACCCAAAGAACAAAGTCCTACCCCAGGACCTGCTGTGCGAAAAAAAGAGAAACTCCTCTTTATTAAACCACTGATTGTTGAGATAAATGCATTTTAAAAACCCGTATAATCTTTCTCTTGATGCTTTGCTCAGGGACATTTATTTAGCTTAATCTCCGTGGGCTTAGAGTTTTGGAAACCAAAGCCAGGAGACTTAGTGATATTTCTGATTTTTAAAAAAAAATTTTTTAAATGTTTTATTTATTTCTGAGAAAGAGACAGGCAGCGTGAGCAGGGGAGGGTCAGAGAGAGAGAGGGAGACACAGAATCGGAAGCAGGCTCCAGGCTCTGAGCTATCTGTCAGCACAGAGCTCGACGCAGGGCTCGAACCCACGAACCGTGAGATCATGACCTGAGCCGCCGTCGGACACTTAACCGACTGAGCCACCCAGGAGCCCTGTGATATTTCTGATTTTTGTTTGATTGAGGGAAAGAGAGAGAGAGAGAGGGAAAGGAAGAACACAAGATAATACCTTGAAAATACAATCTTGCCACAGTGGTTCATGACGGCTGTAGCTTCGAGTTGGGAAGCCAGCCCTTAATTCCCAGGCCGGGTCCTCACCCAGTGTGCAGTTCCATTGCCTCCCCGGCTGTTCTCTCTCCGCCACCACCCCCCCCCCACTTCCCCCGCCACGGAGAGAACTGAGAACTGACCAGAACATCCAGAATTCAAAACCAGTCTTGAAAAAAATGTTTGTTTCCCTAACTATACATGTTGGGTTCAAACTGCCGTGAAGCAAACTGACTAGATATTGGAGTGTAGGAAGGGACACTCGGAGACCCAAGGGCGGAGTGGTACTTACTGGAAAGAAATTACACAGATGTGCTTTTTTCTTCCTTACCCCTACCTTGGCTTCTTGGATTTCTCTGTCAGGATTCACCTTAAGTTTGCCTGACTCAGGCCTTATTGC